GACTCTGCAGTCAACACATTTTGAGCATGCTGCCCCCCTTGCTAAACCACCATGACAGCAAACTACTTTGCAAATGGGACTCTTTACATCCTGTGTAGATCCACAGGATCACTCCTGATCAGCAAATGCAAAAGTAATTGCACTTGGGGGGGGTATCTTTAGGCCTCTGGACATTGCTGCTGCTGCTCTGCCTGTGAGTATTGGGGAGGACCGCTCCTCCTTGAAGCCCGTTTTCCACCTTGGGCCTGGGAGTGGGCCCCATACTCACCACCGCAGCCTATAAGGCTCTAAGGAGGCCTCGGGTGTGTGGGGTGGGATGGATGTTTAGTCAGGTGTAGGAATTTAATTTTGGTGAGTTTGTAACTTTTACTGGTTTTGGTTTTAATTTGATTTTTTATTTTGTTAGTTCGTTTTTTGTATAGGTTTTAATTTGATTTTAAGGGGAGGGGTCAGGGCTGCCTGGGAGTGGGTCCCAGTCAACAAAATAGTCGAGGCATGTTCCACAGGGGGGATGCACTGGGACAACCAATTTCAGTGATCACAGGTAGGAGGAGGAGTTACGCTAAGACCAGACCATGTCATTACTGAGGAGGCAGGTTTAGTCGTTGTCTGAGGACTATCCCTGCCTCCAGGTCTGGTCTTGTCCGGACAGATACTGGAATCAGCAAGGGATACCCACACAACCTGAAGGTGCTGCTGTGCAATCCCAGGTCAATGATCCATAAGACCACTGCCATCCATGACTTGATAATGGATGGAGGACTTGACCTGGCATGTGTAACAGAGACTTGGTTGGATGAAGCAGATGGGCCTGTCCTTGCTGCTGCTTGTCCACCAGGTTTCTCTTACGCACAGCAATCCAGGCCTTGTGGGCGGGGGGGGGGGTTGCAGTGATTTTTAGGAAGTAATTAGTCTGCACCAGGCGTCCTACTGGGAAGACCCACTTCTCTGAGTGCATGTTCTGGAAGCTTGGCAATAGGGGCAGTACAGGATTCCTTTTGGTGTACCGACCTCCCCGCTGCACAAAGGATTCCCTGCCCGAGCTGCTTCAGGTCGTGGTGGATGTGCTGGAGACACCTAGTTTGGTTGTCCTAGGGGATTTTAACATCCATGCCAACACAACCTTACAAGGGGCCGCTCGGGACTTCGTGGAAAGCATAGCCTCCATGGGGCTGTCCCTGAATAAGTCTGGCCCAACTTATAGCCACGGACATGCCTTAGACCTGGTGTTTATGGGTGTTGGTGATCTGACACTAACTAAAAGCGAAACAAAAGCAGTGCCGTGGTCAGATCACTTCCTGGTGCAACTGGACTTTCCACAACCCTTCCCCTCTGCGGGGAGGTGGGACTGATTTGGATGGTCCACCCCCGCCACTTAATGGATCCAAATGGTTTCCAGAGAGTGGTAGGGGATGTTTTATCCCATGTTGATGGCCTTTCAGCTGATTCCCTGGTGGCCCGCTGGAATGTGCAGTTAAACAGGACTATTGACTATTTGGCTCAGAAGCGCCCTCTCCGATTGCATGGAGCTCGACAGCCCCATGGTTTTCCATGGATCTGAGGGCAATGAAACAATCACTGAGACGGCTAGAGCGCCGCCGGCGGATAACTCATTCTGAATCTGACTGGACATGGGTTAGAGCTCAATGTTGAGCTTACCAAGCGGCGATAGCGACGGCAAAGAGGACTTTCTTCACCGCCTCTATTGCATCTGCAGAAAAAAGCAGCAGGAGACTTTTTCAGGTGGTTCGCAATTTAGCGGAACCACCTACTACATTGGGGCCCAGTACGGGCCACATGATCTCCTGCAACGATTTTTGCAAAGTTTTTTGCAGATAAAGTCACTCAGATTCAGGAAGAGGTAGACTCCACCATGGGAGCAGGGCCGGGGTGGGAGAGTGCTAGTCCTGTCTAGTCAAGCTGCGTGGGATCAATTCCAATCTCTTACCTCCGAGGATGTGGACAGGCTGCTTGGATGAGTGAAACAAACCACCTGTCTCCTTGATCCTTGCCCATACTGGCTTATAAAAGCTAGCCAGGAAGGGCTGGGAGACGGGCTTCGCAGGGTGGTGAATGCTTCTCTCTGTGAGGGAGCCTTCCCAGACCCGCTGAAAGAGGCAGTTATCAAACTGCTTATTAAAAAACCATCTTTAGTTGCGGCCAATATGGCCAACTATCGCCCAGTTTCAAATCTTCCATTCTTGGGCAAGGTGATTGAGTAAGTGGTTGCTGAACAACTCCAGGCACGCCTGGAAGAAGCGGACCATTTGGATCCCTTCCAGTCGGGATTCAGGCCTCATCATGGGACTGAAACTGCCTTGGTCGCACTGGTCGATGATCTCTGGTGGGCTAGGACAAAGGTGAGAGCTGTTTCCTAGTTCTGCTGGATCTCCAAGCGGCTTTTGACACCATCGGCCATAACATCCTTCTGGACCGTAGAGGGGCTGGGAGCTGGGGGCACTGTTATACAGTGGTTCTGCTCTTTCCTCCTGGGCCATGTTCAGAAAGTGGTGGGGGGGTGAGTGTTCAGACCCCTGGGCTCTCACTTGTGGGGTGCCTCAGGGTTCTGTCCTCCACCCCATGCTTTTCAACATCTACATGCAGCCGCTGGCAGAGATCATCAGGGGGTTTGGGCTGGGTGTCCATCAATATGCGGATGATACCCAATTCTACTTCTCTTTCAAATGAGAACCAGTGAAGGTGGTGAAGGTCCTGTATGACTGTCCGGAGGCAGTTGGAGGATGGATGGCGGCTAACAGATTGAGGTTAAATCCTGACAAGACAGAAGTACTGTTTTTGGGGGACAGGAGGCGGGCAGGTGTGGAGGACTCCCTGGTCCTGAATGGGGTAACTGTGCCCCTGAAGGACCAGGTGCGCAGCCTGGGAGTCATTCTGGACTCGCAGCTGTCCAAGGAGGCACAGGTCAATTCTGTGTCCAGGGCAGCTCCATCTGGTACGCAGGCTGAGACCCTCCCTGCCCGCAGACTGCCTCGCCAGTGTGATGCATGCTCTGGTTATCTCTCGTTTGGCCTACTGCAATGCGCTCTATGTGGGGCTACATTTGAAGGGGACTTGGAAACTACAACTAATCCAGATTGTGGCAACTAGACTAGTGACTGGGAGCGGCCGCTGAGACCACATAACACAGGTCTTTAAAGACCTACATTGGCTCCCAGTTCGTTTCCGAGCACAATTCAAAGTGTTAGTGCTGACTTTTAATGCATGACTGTAAGTTAATATTGATATACTGTATGTTAATATTTTGATGCATTACTGTATGTTAATATTTTGTTGGAAGCTGCCCAGAGTGGCTGAGAAAGCCCAGCCAGATGGGTGGGGTATAAATAATACGGTAAATAATAAATTATTATTATTAATTCAATGCCGACAAAGCCTTCATCTGCAGAGAATTTGGACCATATGACCTTTACATGTGTAGAATGGACCTCTTCTCATTAGATGTTCATGAACAGTACATGAAATGTTCTGCGGATTACATATGGAAAAATTGCCATCTACAAAAGGTTATTTTATTTCCCTCTCTCCAGAAAAAAAACAACAACATTTCTGAATTCCTTTCAAATCTTATTGCTGACAGGAAAGTATGTGGAGGAGGCATGGTTCCACTATGTTGTTCCTGGGGAACTGTAGTCATAAAATCTCTCCCTGAAATGAGCACAGGAGATCAAAGTTCCCCAGAGGCGCCATCTGCCACACCTGTATGCTTAGTTTCTGAAGATGCAGTGGCACCTGCAAACATTATACTTTATTGAGGAGATTGTACATCTTTAACTTTTGTCATAGGCGGGTGCAGCAGCAGAATCCTGATGACACAAGTCACAGGCACGAACAGCTACACAAAGACCGCTGGGTTACATTGTGAGCTTCTGGTGCTCTTTGAGGACCCTTATTGGCCTGGACAATAGCCTGCCTCCATGCCCCCACCCTTTGGGTCCCCCAATGGCCACAGAGTTCAAAGGTCAGGGAGAGTGCAACCTTTTGTTGCTTTCCCTTAAGTATCCTATATAAAAAGGCAAGCTTGAAAGGACACCAAAGGTGGGTAAGAAACAGATACCATTTTGCTCTGCAAAAGTTTGCAAGGAGAAGGACTTTAAAAGCAGTTACAAGCCATTAAATAATCAGTCTATATTTGCCACAAATGCAAATTTTGGCAGAAGAGTCAGGAAATGTTTGGTGCCTTCTTTTGCTGAGAAAACTAAAGCATTTAATATAAAACAAGTTTGAACTGCATTGAACAGTATGCTTTTCTCTTAAAAAACCAACACTATGTTAACTACACAGGAGAAAAACTTATAGAAGTGCAGGTGTGCAGCTAAAAACTGCCGTCAGGTTTTTGCTCATTTCAGATGTAACAACGGCAGGCAGCAGGACTGCAGGGGATGCAGAGTAAACAGGATCATTTACACGTTCTGGCCTCCAAATGACCAACTAACAAAAATTCAACAGAGTGTGCCCCTCCCAACACACCAAAAAGGGACAAAAATAAGGGGCAGAGATGATGGGGTCAGGAAAGAGTAAAACGGGGACAAGTCCTGTTTGCATTTGAGACACATTCATAGCCCTAACCCTGACTTTATGCAAAGCCTCGTTCACAACATACATTTAAAGCTTTCCACTTTCAAAAGCTGTTCAGGGGTCAGCAAACTTTTTCAGCAGGGGGCTGGTCTACCATCCCTCAGACCTTGTGAGGGGCCAGACTATATGGGGGGGGGGGAATGAACGAATCCCTATGCCCCACAAATAACCCAGAGATGCACTTTAAATAAAAGCACACATTCTACTCAAGTAAAAACACACTGATTCCCGGACTGTCCGCAGGCTGGATTGAGAAGGCGAGTGGGCCGCATCCGGGGCCCCTGGGCCTTAGTTTGCCTACCCATGGTTTAAAGAGTCCTGAGAGCTTAAATTTGTTAAGGGTGCTAAGAGTTGTTGAGAGACACCATCCCCACCCCCAGCTTCCTGGAAATAGAGATTGACAGTTGGACGAGACCACTCTGAGAATTGCCATTCTGTGAGGGAAATGGGTCTCCCAACAATTCCTGGCACCCTGAAGAGACTACAGTTCCCAGGATCCTTTGGGGGGAAACCCTGACTGTCAAAAGTGGTACCATAGTGCTTTAAAACCATCCCTCTGGACCAGACTTTGCAAAGCCCCAGGGGGAGGAGGAGGCTGCTTCGCAAAGGCAGGCAAGCAGGCAGCGGGGGCTTCTCTTCAGAGCAGGGGGTGCTCACTCCCTGAGAGATGGGAGGCCCTTCCTCTCTCAGCACAGCCTCAGCGCTGTTGCTATGGGAGCCCTAGCAACCATTTGCAGCCTCTGGGGCAAGGGTGAGAATGGAAGCCAGCTCCAAGGACAGAAGGTGAGTCCTTTGAGGTGGGTGGGGGCAGGATGGCCTTAGGGCATCTCTTAAAGTTTACACCTTTTATTTGCCATAGCACCATTCTTCTCATTTCATCTTTTTACTACTCCTTAGCAATTGCAGCGTTTTGGCACAAGACTCTCACCAGCGTTCTTAGCATGCCCTTTTGTTGAAATTTTATTTATATATATATATATATATATATATATATATATATATATATATATATATATGACAAGATGTTATGTCGCAGCCCAGCTGCGGCCATGATGGTGCTATGACATCCATGTACTTACTTTTAAAAGATTGATATAATGTATCAGCGTGGTGGACAGAGATAAAGCATCAAATTTTTTAAAGAAAAGTGCAAGACAATCATTAAAATGGCTGGCAAATCAAAAAAGGCTTCAGGTAGCTGCATAGGCCTGTAAGCTTTAGAAAATGTGTGTGTGTGTGTGTGTGTGTGTGTGTGTGTGTGTGTTTATCACATGCCTCCTCCATTCACAGAAAAAGCTGGATGGGTGCAGCATTATTTTAACAGTAACAGGAGCATGCGGGAAAGAGGGGCTCAATCACCCCCCCTGCCACTGTTTTTAAAAGCGCTACATATATATGACAAGCATAAATGTCTGCAATGAACATTAACTTACTAGGTTGCCAAATACACAAGTTGGCCCTAGTGTTTCTGCTTCTTAGCATTGCCGACTTACTAAAACGATGTTTGAAGGTACAAGATACATTTTAATTATGACACCACCCCTTAATCTCTCCTCAGTCAGGTGTAACAACCAGTCCTACTGGTTCTGAGAACCCTAATCCCTTCTCTAGCATTAAAGGAAGGGCCAAGCTAGAGAAGACATGGAGCTGCACAGTGAGATCTCTTGTAGAAAGCTGTGGGGCGAGGGAGAATGAATTGGGACTGTGACGCCGGGGAACAAGGCTAACCATCCGGCCCCCACCCCTCTATATTCGTGATGAACACCCCAATCCCCAAAGAGCCGCTTCCCCCATGCACCTGAAAGTTTCCCCAGACTGGCCAAATCATAGCACTGAGGAGCGTATAGCGAGGGGTTGGGGAGGCGTGCGAGGTGACACTCCCCAAAGTGTTGCAGCCCTGAACCAAATCACCCTGTCCTGGGGCACCATCTGGGGGGTGGGGGATCAGGGTCCACCAATATTTTCAAGGAGGGGGCCACCCTCCCCAAATTCTACAGTGATCCTCAAAAAGATGCGCCAGGGTGAAGCATCTTCATCCCAGCACATCCCTTTCACGAAGGTAAGGTGGTGGGTGGGGGCCCAATTTGACCTGGCCAGGTTGGGAGGAGGGGGTGGCACACATGTGATGTCATTCATGCATGATGGCCCCTTCCATGTCTGGGGCAACTCAGCACGTCTGCCCCCATCTCTACTGCATATGCTAAAGAAATTTTTCTTTAAGGGATCAGAGGTCTGACTTTGGCTCTCTGTCATCTCATCTAATTTGGCCCTCAAGATGCATGCACACAGCATGAATGAGGAAGGCATGTGAATGATAGCTCCATCAGGCGGTGTGTGACTCTGTCTTCGTTCCTTGGCTTGTAGTGGGAGAAATGCCCAGGGCCAGAGCTTGCAGCTGGCCATGCAAAACGCTGGCTGAGGGCCTCACTGCCTCCCAAGGGTCCCTCACCAGCTCAAACCACTTAATGTGTTCATTGTTGGGCCCCAGACAACTATTTCAGCAGTGTCTCTCTGTGTGTGCTCCCATCTGGCTACTACAGTGGTACCTCGGGTTACAGACGCTTCAGGTTACAAACTCCGCTAACCAGGAAGTGGTTGCTCCAGGTTAAGAACTTTGCCCCAGGGTAAGAACGGAAATCGTGCGCCAGCAGTGCAGCAGCAGCAGGAGGCCCCATTACCAAAAGCATGCTTCAGGTTAAGAACCGTTTCAGGTTAAGAACGGACCTCTGGAACGAATTAAGTTCTTAACCCAAGGTACCACTGTATTTTTGTGGCAACGTGCTCAGTGAAGCCATTTTGAGAGTTAAAATGTTAAGCAAGGAAGCCATTTTGTTGATCTAGGGCCAGCCCCCATATCCAGTGCATACACTCAGACACCCACGACCCAGAGACACACAGAGATAGGCTGATAAGAATTACCAAGTAAGGACAGGGAAGGGTCATGTCCAACTCCTCATGCCCTGTCTCTAGGCAGAACCTAATGCATCTATCTGGAACATACTCTCCAAGCACTAGGGGCCTGGAGATGAGGGCAGTGAAGTGGTGTTGCTGCCACTGTCGTGATGGCAGCAGCTAAAGAAAATAAGGGTGGCTGGATTGGAGCGGGGTATGGGTGGCCCCATGCCAAGGGTTCTTCTAAAAGGGTTTTTTTGCAGGGCCTGCCATGTTGTTTTTCAGGCAGGACTTTTGTGCCTTTAAAAGATGCACCTTCAAAAGTTGCTCTCCAGTGCTGGAAAAACCTCCACCTGTTGAATGTGCAACTGTCAAAATTATTCTAGGAACAGAGAGGAAGGAAGAGAAGGAGCTGCCTTAATTTTTCTGCCTTTGTTTTATCTTGTGGCTTAGAAGAGGGGGAGGGGAGCCACAGAAAATACTTTACACATAAATTTTAGAGGTCTTTAGCAGAAAATAGGAACAACAAGGAAATAAAACAAAAGTTTAAATTTAGCCACTGAAGAATCAGTCTGCGTCACTGGGAAGATTCACAAAACTCACAAGGTGAAGAATTGACAGATACACAGAGAAAGAGAAGAGAAACTATTGCATACGGATTTTCAGTTAAAGGACCTGGTGAGAACTTCTTGCTCTCCCCTAACCAACAGAACAAGGGAATAGTTAGTCCTGGGAAACCTCCTCTTCTGGAGCTGGAATTCATGCACAACACACACACACACACACACACACACACACACACGGAGGGATGCTCTGCATTTTGAACCTGGCAAGCCAGGTGGTGCTTGAAAATCATAACCTATAGGCATCCCATACTATATAACTCAAGGCATCATATTAATTCAAATTGCTTCCCCACACACAGCCCCTTCCAGCTATATTAACTGCTAGAAAAAAATAAATGAAGTTGTTCCTTAGACCAAGGCTCCCTGGAACATACAACTGAAATATTCCTGGCTTCCCGCAACATCTAAAGTTCAAATTTTTAGCTCCTCAATAATAGGAAAAGCACAGCTAAGCAGACAATTTTGTGAGTAAATGGCAAAGTGGCTTAATCTACAACTCTTTCCATTCCAGAGTGGAGAACGAGGGGAGCATGGGGGGTGGGGTGGGGGGGTGGAGGAGGAGTTACTGTGTGCTTAATAAACACGGAGTTCTCGTCTTGCATACATAAGCCATCTCTGCCCAGTTGGGAAGCCAGTGATCAAAAGAGGATCAGGAATGGAATATGATTATTTCTGTAAGTCAGGCTGGACTACTGGCAGCATTGTGGGGAAACTCTGAATACACTGCCATTTGCTCTCACTGACTTCTGCTATAAATTTTGTCTCTTTGTCTGTCCATTTGTCAGTCCGTCTGTTCTCTTTGATTTTGGCTGCCTCTCAAGATATTGTTGCCAAACTCAGCACGAGAGTTCCTAAGGTGGGGGAGATGATAGGGTGCTGGGTGTCATATAGATTATGATGCCAGACCGAAATGTGACAGTGCCCATTGTTTCGGCACAGGTGCAGCTGCCACTCGAGATATCACTGCCAAACATATAGCATAAGGGTTCCTGAGGTGGGGGCTGGTGCTCTTTGCCTAGATACCAGGTGTCATTTTGAACTGACCAAAACATGACTCTGGACCAAAACATGACTCTGGTGGACCTAAACATGACTCTGGGGTGGCTTAGCCCAAGGCCTTGCCTGCCAATGAGAAGGACCAAGTTGGTTGGTACTGGGGAATGTGCATAGCTGTGTGGGCATTTATATCCATTTTCTTGTGTGTGTGTGTTTCTTTGTGGCTGATTAGCTGCTCTCCCTGTGCAAAGGTCAGAGGGGGCAGGGTTTCTGTTGAGTCAGGTGATTAGCTGTGGGAGGAGCTTATCAGAGCTTATCAGTAGCCACCCCCAACGACACGTTTTCAAGATGGAGGGTGAGGGAACAGCTGCAGTCGCCTGCGGTTCCTGTGCAATGTTTGCCATCTTGCCAAAGGTTGCAGGCAGCTTTACCTGCAGCAATTGTATGTTGATTGCCCTCTTAGAAGACAAAGTCCAGCAACTGGAGGAACGTGTAGCTACGCTCTGTTACGGAAAATCCGGGTGCGTATTTGCCCTGCCACCCAGCTCGTCGGACAGAGTCTGCGGGTCCTAGCGGAGGAAAAAGGGAGCTCAGCCGGACAAAGGAGCAAAATACGGAGATCCAAGTTTATTGCGCAACAGGTTCAAAACGAGATTGAACCCCGAGAATGGGGTGACACAAACTTTTAAAAGTTCCCTCCGATTCCCAGAATACAGTGCATGAAACGTCATGAATACATTATGGGAAGGTTGGGTTTCACGGGTTACATCATGAATATATTTCACACGTCATGAATATATTTAGGAAAGGTGGGGTTACATTAATTAACATTTGAGATAAGGGAGGGGGGAATATGCAGAGTGAGAGATACACATAGGTAAACATTTATTGAGTACCGGTGGTGGCAAGACAATGGGCCAGAGATATGCATCGTCTGCCACCTAATATTGCCCGGAGGAAGGGTTAGGCGAAGCGATCTGACAGGATTAAGAAGTTCCTGCGTACGTGTCCTGTCGCTTCGGGGATTATGGAGGTAGGGGTCACATCATGGAGTCCAAAGGGAGCTGAGTTGAATGACACCAAGAGCAAAGAAATCGGAGTTACGGTTGATTTTATATCAATTTCCAAAGGTTTCTATGCTTTCCGACCCATTCTGTACCGTTGATCAAGATCGGAAACAGAACGGAAATATTGTAGCAAGAATGGATACATTGTAACGGGATTTTGACAGTTTTACGAGGTCTCTGGTTTCGGATCCATTGTTCTCGCAGTGGGGGGCCGTCAGCAGCTTGTCAGGAGGGTAATGAGGCGTGCAGTAGCTCCCTGAGCTAGCTTCTGCAGGGAGAATGCATGGCTGTGATTGGCTAAAGCGGAGCTCAGTATAGTGAATGGGGATATAGTATGATACGGTCTATTCGCATTAGGAATAAGGCGAGAGGAAGGCATAGGAAAAGATCGGGGCTTATTTCACCCGTATAGAGATAGGAAAGAGAGCCTTTTATTAGCAAGGCAGGGGTATAGTGTGGTGCTTGTGTAACGATGTGGGGGCTGAGCGTTCTAGGCAGAGCTGGGCACTGTCGAGGTCATCGCCTCGGGCCCCTTCAGGAAGCGAGGGAGGGGAGGATGGTTGCCCCCCCCTTCCTCCTTCCGTATCAGCTCCAAAGAATTAGAGAGCTGGAGCTCTTCTTGGAAGCAACAGAGAACACCATCTCCACCAAGGAGGAGACAGGGGACACCCCTGAGAAGGAGGCTAGTTCACCAACACAGGTGCCAGATATATGGAGAAACGTGACTCAAAGAAGTAGGAGGCCCAGGGTTCGCTCTGATTGTTTAGAAATACACAATCGCTTTGAAGTCCTCTCCCCTAGCATGGAAGACAAAGAACAGACTCCATTTGAGGATCTCTCCCTCATTACAGTCGATCAGGTATATGAAGTCGAGCAGCAAAGTCATTCCTCAGGGAATGTGCAGGCGACCTTGGAACGGACAGCTCATGGAAGAACCCCGACCAAACCTAAGAGGAGGCGTGTAGTGGTGATAGGGGATTCCCTACTGAGGGGAACAGAAGCAGTGATCTGTGGGCCTGACAAGATGTCTCGGGAGGTGTGCTGTCTCCCCGGGGCTAAGATCCAAGATGTAACTGAAGGACCACAAGGAATCATAAAACCCACTGACAAATACCCCTTCCTCTTGGTTCATGTGGGAACCAATGACATTGCAAGCAATAGCCTCCAGAAGATCAAAAGAGACTACGAGGCTCTGGGCAGGAAATTGAAGCAATTAAATGCACAAATTGTCATCTCATCTTGACAACCAGAGGCTTGACAACCATATGTCAGGAGTGCTCTGATGGTGTTTCCTGCTTGGCAGGGGGTTGGACTCGATGGCCCTTGTGGTCTCTTCCAACTCTATGATTCTATGATTCTATGATCTGTCCTCCCAGTTGAACGACGTGGCCCAGGGAGAGAGGGAAAAATAGTGGAAGTGAACAGCTGGCTTCGCAAATGGTGTAAACAGGAACGGTTTGGATTTTTAGATCACACACTGCAGTTTCTTGAAGATGGACTTCTGGCAAGCAATGGGCTGCACCTCACAATGGTTGGGAGGAATGTTTTTGCCAAAAATCACAGAAACCTCCTCAGGAGGGCTTTAAACTGACTAATGTGGGGGAGGGAGACAGTGCTCCTGAAGGTAGGAGTCCATCAATTGATGAAGATGATCATCCAAATGTCATAGACCAAATGGAGCAAACAGCACGCAGACCTCGTGGTGGGAGGAAAAAATCCTTAAATAAGAGACACGGGGGAATGATTAATGGACTTCAATGTCTGTACACTAATGCGCAAAGCATGGGAAATAAACAAGATGAGCTTGAGCTCCTGGTACAGCGAACTAAATATGACATAATAGGCATCACTGAAACCTGGTGGGATAAGTCCCACGATTAGAATGTAATAATGGAGGGATACAATCTATTTCAGAGAAACAGAGCAGACAAGAAAGGAGGAGGAGTGGCGTTATATGTCAGGGATGTGTATACCTGTGAAGAGATCCAAGATTTAGAACCTCAAAGCCAAAGTGAGAGCATTTGGGTCAAAATTAAGGGAGAGAAGAATAACAGAGACCTCATTGTGGGAGTTTACTATAGATCCCCAAGCCAAACGGAGGACATAGATGATGCCTTCCTGGAACAGATGGCCAAGCATGCAAAAGGAAGGGAGATAGTAGTAATGGGGGACTTCAATTACCCGGATATTTGTTGGATGTCAAACTCAGCCAAGAGCATAAGGTCAAACAGATTCCTCACTGGCCTTGCAGACAACTTCATTGTCCAGAAAGTGGGAGAAGCAACAAGAAGAACAGCCATTTTAGATCTGGTCCTAACCAGTGTTGATGACCTGGTTAGTGGGGTAGAAGTGGAAGGATCATTAGGAAGGATCATTAGTGGAAGGATCATTAGTGATCATGCTCTTCTGAAGTTTACTATACAGCGGAAAGGAGCAGCCAAGCATACTAGGACTCAATTTCTTGACTTTAAGAAAGCCGACTTCATAAAACTTAGGGAAGTGCTGGGTGAGATCCCATGGACAGTAATACTAAAAGGAAAGGGAGTTGATGATGGCTGGGAGTTTGTTAAGAGGGAGATAGTAAAAGCACAACTTCAGGCAATACCAATGAGACGGAAACATGGAAGGTGCCTAAAGAAGCCAGGGTGGCTATCTAAAGAACTTTTGACTGAGTTAAGATTAAAAAAGGATGTGTACAAAAAATGGAAAAGGGGGGAAACCACCAAAGAGGAATTCAAACAAATAGCCAGCACATGTAGACACAAAGTCAGAAAAGCTAAAGCACAGAATGAACTCAGGCTTGCTAGAGAGGTTAAAAGCAACAAAAAAGGCTTTCATGAGTATGTCCGGAGCAAAAGGAAGAACAAAGAAACAATGGGGTCACTTAGAGGAGAAGATGGTGAAATGCAAACAGGGGACACAGAAAGGGCTGAACTCCTCAATGCCTTCTTTGCCTCAGTCTTCTCCAATAAAGAAAACAATGCCCGACCTAAAGAATTTGGAGCAAATGATTCAGCAGAGGAAACACAGCCCAGAATAACTAAGGAGCTAGTACAAGAATACTTGGCTAGTTTAGATGTATTCAAGTCTCCAGGGCCAGATGAACTGCATCCAAGAGTATTAAAAGAACTGGCAGATGTGATCTCAGAACCACTGGCAGTCATCTTTGAGAATTCCTGGAGAACAGGCGAAGTCCCGGCAGACTGGAGGAGGGCAAATGTTGTACCTATTTTCAAAAAGGGGAAAAGAGAGGACCCAAATAATTATTGCCCAGTCAGTCTGACATCAATACCAGGGAAGATTCTGAAGCAGATCATTAAGCAAACAGTCTGTGAGCACCAAGAAAGGAATGCTGTGATCACCAACAGTCAGCATGGATTTCTGAAAAGTAAGTCATGTCAGACTAACCTGATCTCGTTTTTTGACAGAATTACAAGCCTGGTAGATGAAGGGAACGCAGTGGATGTAGCCTACCTTGATTTCAGCAAGGCATTCGACAAGGTGCCCCATGATATTCTTGTAAAGAAGCTGGTAAAATGCGGTCTTGACTATGCTACCACTCAGTGGATTTGTAACTGGCTGACTGACCGAACCCAAAGGGTGCTCATCAATGGTTCCTCTTCATCCTGGAGAAGAGTGACTAGTGGGGTGCCACAGGGTTCTGTCTTGGGCCCGGTCTTATTCAAAATCTTTATCAATGACTTGGATGATGGACTCAAGGGCATCCTGATCAAATTTGCAGATGACACCAAACTGGGAGGGGTGGCTAACACCCCAGAGGACAGGATCACACTTCAAAACGACCTTGACAGATTAGAGAACTGGGCCAAAACAAACAAGATGAACTTTAACAGGGAGAAATGTAAAGTATTGCACTTGGGCAAAAAAAATGAGAGGCACAAATACAAGATGGGTGACACCTGGCTTGAGAGCAGTACATGTGAAAAGGATCCAGGAGTCTTGGTTGACCACAAACTTGACATGAGCCAACAGTGTGACGCGGCAGCTAAAAAAGCCAATGCAATTCTGGGCTGCATCAATAGGAGTATAGCATCTAGATCAAGGGAAGTAATAGTGCCACTGTATTCTGCTCTGGTCAGACCTCACCTGGAGTGCTGTGTCCAGTTCTGGGCACCACAGTTCAAGAGGGACACTGACAAACTGGAACGTGTCCAGAGGAGGGCAACCAAAATGGTCAAAGGCCTGGAAACGATGCCTTATGAGGAACGGCTAAGGGAGCTGGGCATGTTTAGCCTGGAGAAGAGGAGGTTAAGGAGTGATATGATAGCCATGTTCAAATATATAAAAGGATGTCACATAGAGGAGGGAGAAAGGTTGTTTTCTGCTGCTCCAGAGAAGCGGACACGGAGCAATGGATCCAAACTACAAGAAAGAAGATTCCACCTAAACATTAGGAAGAACTTCCTGACAGTAAGAGCTGTTCAACAGTGGAATTTGCTGCCAAGGAGTGTGGCGGAGTCTCCGTCTTTGGAGGTCTTTAAGCAGAGGCTTGACAACCATATGTCAGGAGTGCTCTGATGGTGTTTCCTGCTTGGCAGGGGGTTGGACTCGATGGCCCTTGTGGTCTATTCCAACTCTATGATTCTATGATTCTCCAGACCACCTAGTTCAGTATTCCACTCACTACACCATGCAAAACATATTTTTTAAAGAATTAATTGACCCCAAAGCCTCCAATCAGTTACTGATTTAATTTTATTGCTTTTCTCTTTTATTCAGTGCAGAGGCAGCCTTTGCGATGGAGAGCTCAAACCAACTTTGGCTGGAGAGGCTGTTTCCTCCTCATTTTAGCAAGGTAGATTTCTTCAGTGGGTCCCATCAGCCAGAACCTCTGATTTGTGAAAAGTTTGCTTTGGAGAGGGCAAGAAGGACTGAGCAAATCTACAACAAAACGGCTAAGGCCAGTTTTCATGAGGATCAACAGTTCCAAAGGAAAGGATCTCCCTCCAAACTCCTTGTGAGCGAGCAGGAGTTGAACTTATGGGGAAGAAAGAGAGAAAGAGAGAAAATTCAAGACTTCCGGGTTAGCGCCATCGGCGAATGGTGGAGTTTCTCTGATGGGAGGAACTGGCTCCGTGGAAACTGGGTCTTCCCGCCGTGGCGAAGGTGGGGGCCCGCTAGAAATCCCAGGTGGAGGAAGCCTGGGAACGTGGGGTTCGGCAGGGCACCAGGAGAGCCTCCCCTACTTGCGGGGAATCCCATTTTGGGGCTCCGGAGCGAAGTGGGGTGAGCGGCGCGGTGCTGCAAACTGACTGCTACTTTCACGGAGTGAAGCCGCACAGCCATTGCCGGAGAGCGCTGACTTTTTCCTGTGGACAATCGGACTCAAAAGTAATTACCTGTGAGTAAAGTGAAGAAATTGGATTTTTAAAAGCTGAATTAGACTACGAACAGGGGGAGGTGTAAAACAGGAAGTCCGCCTTCCTCCTTTTGTAAATAGTCGGAAGCAAATAGGCTTAAACTAAAGCCTGAAAGACTATGATAAACACCTAAATTTCCAGTACAAAAATAGCGAACCCCCCCTTGGAAGCAGGGGAAAAGGGGGAGGATTTATGGACGTTATTTGCCTGCAAAAAAGAGGGGAGAAGCTAACTTTCCACCACTCGGAACCTGGGAACGGCAGCCATTAAAATCGCTGCATTTCGGAGCTCCGCATTGACTGTGAACAGACTATTTGACTGTCAGTGAAACAGTGAAAGTGAAACATTGTTTCAACTACTTTTTCCTGGTTTAAAAGTTTCAACTATCTTTTCTTGAACTAAGGTTAAGACTTGATACTAATTATACTAATTATACTGGTGCAATTGTAATTGTAATTCTAAAAAGAAAAGAAAAAGAAAAAGGATACTTTGGACTAACACAAGATAAACAATAATTATTTCCCTCTAGAGGAGGACTTTGCTACAAGGAGTGGAATTTCCCAACTTTAAAGATATTTGACCTTGAGGGCCTGGAGTGTTATGGCAGATGGGAAAGAAAAAATAGATCCCTCTATTCAAGAAAAAACAACAAGGTCTGGGAAGTCTTTTCGAAGAGCTTCTACATCTGGCCCTCCTGCCTCCTCTGCAGCTGCATTAATGCATTCTAAACCAAAAGGAGGAATGATTTCGGAAGAAGCTTTGGCACTTGTTTTGAGTAAAATTAACAATTCCTTGGAACAAATGAATAAAAAATTGGACCAAAACTCACAAAAATTGGATCAAAATACACAAAGCATAAAAAGCTTGGAACAAAAAGTTAATTCTAATACAGAAACTATAGAGACATTAGTTAAGGAGTCTAATTCAACCAGACAGATTGCAGAGGAAGTTAAGGAAAAGGTTGTTACTGTGGAAGCGAAGGTAAAAATATCTCTTTAAAGATTCAGGTGTCCCTTCTCAAGGCGGAGCTGGTGGAACTTAAAGCCAAATACAAAACATTAGTGGCAGAATCTGAACAAGCGATGCAAGAGCTGAGCGACTACAGAACAGAAGCTTGGTGTAAAACTGGCTGGCTGGAGCAGATTCAAAGGCAAAGATTCGAAAGAGATTCCAAGATTGAAGTGTTTAAACAAGGCCTACTTGAGAAATCAGACAGCATCAGAAGTTTAAAGGAGGAACTGAAACAAAGAAGAGGAGAAGTCACGCATTTAAAGTTGCAGAAGAAGGATTTACAAGAAGAGTTAGAGGAATTCAGAGAGCGGCAAGATTTTCAAAACAAGTTACTCACAGAAAACATGAAGCTCTGTCATGATATGGAAATGAGAAAAATACAAAAAGAGCTGGAGGATGCTAAAGGAGAGCTGGATGCAGAGAAAGCCTTGAATACAAAGAGTGCTAAAGATCTAGAGATGCTGAAAATACACTTGAAAATTCACATGATTTACTTCAAAATTTGAGAATTTGTTTTATTTAATGCAAATTCAAATTAAAAGATTTATTTTAGTTAACTAATCTATTATGCTCCACCTTTCCTCCCCTGAGTTCTCCCCATTTCTCCCTTTTATCCTCATAACAACTCTGTTAGGTAATTCGGACTGAGAGAGCATGGCTGACCCAAGGTCACCCAGTGAGCTTCCTGGCTGAGCAGAGGTTTCCATTTGGGTCTCCCCAGTCCTAGTCCAACACTCTTAACCACTATGCAAACTACTTGCAAATCCCAAGTTTAATGCCATGGACAGTCTCTCCTCTTTTCCTCTGGGGAAATTTTTTTAAAAGGCAGTCATCTGTGATGATAAAATAGTGTATCTTTCATTTAGTAGAGTTTTGGTTTGGGGGAGATTCTGGTTTGATTCCATCTTGAGAGCCCATGTAAGTCTTAAAGGCACAGACCTCTGTTACGTCGCCCCTGTTTGCAATACTAGGCTATGATTTTCTTTTTTTTCCTTTTTTTAAATTATATTTATTAGAAGTTTAAAAATTGCAGAAAAAAGAAGAGAAAAACAACAACAAAATAAACAAAATATACATTGTTGTTGTTGTTGTTTAGTCGTTTAGTCGTGTCCGACTCTTCGTGACCCCATGGACCAGAGCACGCCAGGCACTCCTGTCTTCCACCGCCTCCCGCAGTTTAGTCAGGCTCATGTTTGTAGCTTCGAGAACACTATTCAACCATCTCATCCTCTGTCGTCCCCTTCTCCTTGTGCCCTCCATCTTTCCCAACATCAGGGTCTTTTCCAGGGAGTCTTCTCTTCTCATGAGGTGGCCAAAGTATTGGAGCCTCAACTTCACGATCTGTCCTTCCAGTGAGCACTCAGGTCTGATTTCCTTAAGAATGGATGCGTTTGATCTTCTTGCAGTCCATGGGACTCTCAAGAGTCTCCTCCAGCACCATAATTCAAAAGCATCAATTCTTCGGCGATCAGCCTTCTTTATGGTCCAGCTCTCACTTCCATACATCACTACTGGGAAAACCATGGCTTTAACTATACAGACCTTTGTTGGTAAGGTGATGTCTCTACTTTTTAAGATGCTGCCTAGATTTGCCATCGCCTTTCTCCCAAGGAGCAGGCGTCTTTTAATTTCGTGACTGCTGTCACCATCTGCAGTGATCATGGAGCCCAAGAACATAAAATCTCTCACTGCCTCCATTTCTTCCCCTTCTATTTGCCAGGAGGTGATGGGACCAGTGGCCATGATCTTCGTTTTTTTGATGTTGAGCTTCAGACCATATTTTGCACTCTCCTCTTTCACCCTCATTAAAAGGTTTTTTAATTCCTCCTCACTTTCTGCCATCAAGGTTGTGTCATCTGCATATCTGAGGTTGTTGATATTTCTTCCGGCGATCTTAATTCCGGCTTGGGATTCATCCAGCCCAGCCTTTCGCATGATGAATTCTGCATATAAGTTAAATAAGCAGGGGGACAATATACAGCCTTGCCGTACTCCTTTCCCAATTTTGAACCAATCAGTTGTTCCATATCCAGTTCTAACTGTAGCTTCTTGTCCCACATAGAGATTTCTCAGGAGACAGATGAGGTGATCAGGCACTCCCATTTCTTTAAGAACTTGCCATAGTTTGCTGTGGTCGACACAGTCAAAGGCTTTTGCATAGTCAATGAAGCAGAAGTAGATGTCTTTCTGGAACTCTCTAGCTTTCTCCATAATCCAGCGCATGTTTGCAATTTGGTCTCTGGTTCCTCTGCCTCTTCTAAATCCAGCTTGCACTTCTAGGGAGTTCTCGGTCCACATACTGCTTAAGCCTGCGTTGTAGAATTTTAAGCATAACCTTGTTAGCGTGTGAAATGAGTGCAATTGTGCGGTAGTTGGAGCATTCTTTGGCACTTCCCTTCTTTAGGATTGGGATGTAGACTGATCTTCTCCAATCCTCTGGCCACTGCTGAGTTTTCCAAATTTGCTGGCATATTGAGTGTAGTACCTTAACAGCATCATCTTTTAAAATTTTAAATAATTCAGCTGGAATATCATCACTTCCACTGGCCTTGTTGTTAGCGATGCTTTCTAAGGCCCATTTGACTTCACTTTCCAGGATGTCTGGCTCAAGGTCAGCAACCACACTACCTGGGGTATACGAGACATCCATTTCTTTCTGGTATAGTTCCTCTGTGTATTCTTGCCACCTCTTCTTGATGTCTTCTGCTTCTGTTAGGTCCTTTCCGCTTTTGTCTTTTGTCTTTTATTATGGAAATAAAATATACATTACAATACATAAAAAAAACACAAAAACCGATACAACAATACAGCAAAAAAGAACTATAACATTAAAACACACATCCAATAGTCCATATCTTTATCTTTCATTTACCTGTTTCATCGACCTCCTCACACCTCCCTTTTTGTATTCTATTTTAATTAATTGTTTCAGCAAATTCTTTCCATCTTTCTCAATTTTTGTTGAATAATTTATCTTAACGGTCTAACCTATTAATTAACTCGGCAAATCCTTTCCATCTTTCACAATATTCTGTCATTCAATTTACCTTAATTTATTTTAACCTTATCTTACCATAAAATACCTTAAAACTTAAAACTTAATACTTATTTATACATAACTCCTTATATCATTTCTACTAAAGCCAAATAGTTTCATTCCAACATTTTTCCTAATACTCATTAATTTTACACTAATTCTCGAAATACATTTTTAAGAACTTTCTTCCAATCTTCATCCAACGTCTCTTCTTCCTGGTCTCGGGTTATGTCAGTCCTTACTGTCCATTCCATCTAGTCCATCAACCTGGTAATCTTATGTCCGAGGCTCTTAAGTCTTTTCCATGTCCCTTCTGCAGATCTTCTTCTTGTTTATACCTGCACTTTACCTTGTCTTTTGTTGATCTTTTTCTTAATTTCTTTCCTTTCTCATTGAGGAGTAGGTCTCGGGGGGACTCCAACCCAAGAATATCTCCGTCTCCCCTCAACAGATCAGCCCATTCTCCACAGTCAGCACTGTAGTCCAGAAAGTATTTAAAAGCATGTTTCAAAGTCCCTCCAAAGTTGAGAGCCCCCACAACTCTAGACCCCCCCCCCTGGCCCAGAATCAAATCCCAAGAACCAAAACGTCCCTGCCTAGGGGGATCCATCCAACTTCCCAACTCCCAACCAAACGATACTCCCTCTCTCCATCTCTGACTTTCTCCAGATTCAGTCCTCAAAAACAGCAGCCCATGCTCCTGCAAGGCCTCAGATCTCTCCATTTGTGTTACTTGAGGTTCAACCGCAACCTCCTCCATTATCTTCTGCACTTGCACTTGCCCTGTCAAAACAGCTTCCTGGGTTGGTTCCTGAATGGTTTCTATATGAGTATTCACTGTTTGTCCAAAGTTTTTGACTGCAAGTCATCAAATCCATCTTCTCATGCATCTGCTCCAACAAAGCACTTGTCTTGCAAAAAGCAAGCACCAAAACTTATTCTAAACACATTTTTATCCAAGGTCAGAGTCTGGTCTCATGCTCCCTAATCTCCACAGCTGTGAAATCCCCAGATCGACTCCAGCAACAGTTTAACAAGCTCCCTCTAGAGGAGACAATTTCTATTTGTATCATCTTTTGAAAGCAACTCCAACAAAAGAAAATTACTTTCATTTTTCAAATATTTTGTTTCTATTGAGTGCAAAAGGCAACATTGGAATCAATTTGTTTCTCTTTTTTAACTATCTGTCAAAAGACGTTCCATTCACAGTCAATGAACTTCCCAAAAAATTTCTGTCTCTGACACCCCGTTCCCAGGTTTGAGACGGTGGAAATTTATCTTTCTTTACTCTCTCCCCTGCAGGCTTGAACAATCTAAAATTCCCCCCCTCTTCTCCTGCTTCCAAGAGGGGTTTTGATGGTTATAACTGAAGGAAATTTAGTCCTTTATATACAACTTTCCAGACTTTAGCTTGCAAAATTTTTGCTTCAGTCTATTTACAAAAGCGGAAGGCGGACTTCCTGTTTAGAACCTTCCCGCTTCAGTGCCAAATTAAAATGTTTCGTAGCCCAATTTTCCGTTCTACTCACGGATACTTGTTTAAAGTCCAATTGTCCACAGGAAAAAGTCAGTGCTCTCCGGCAACGGCTGTGCGGCTTCACTCCGTAAAAGTAGCGGTCAATTCAAAACACCGCGCCACTCACCCCACGTCGCTTCGGAACCCCGAAAAAGGGTTTCCCTGCGAGTAGGGGAGGCGCTCTTGGTGTCAGCCAAATCCCACGTTCCCAGGCTTCCTCTGCCTGGGATTTTTAAAGGGTCTCCGCCTTCACCGCGGCGGCAAGACCTGATTTTCACGGAGCGGGTTCCTCTCGGTCAGAGGAACTCCGCCATTGACGATGGCGCTAACCCGGAAGTCTAGGCTATGTTTTTCAACAAGAGAACAACTTTGCCAATGAACCCTCATTCTTATTGAGGGAATCATGTCTGAGATGCTGAGTTCAAATGCACCATTTTATATCTCTCATTGTCTATTATTGTGTGAATTAACAAAGGATGGATAAACTTGATTGTAACATGCTGGAATTTGCCTGTAAATTAAAGTCGCGGTAGTGGAGAAATTGCCCCAGATTAAACTGCTGCTAAATGATAATAAGGGACGCGGGTGGCGCTGTGGTCTAAACCGCAGAGCCTAGGACTTGCCGATCATAAGGTCGGTGGTTCAAATCCCTGCAATGGGATGAGCTCCTGTTACTTGGTCCCAGCTCCTGCCCACCTAGCAGTTCGAAAGCATGCCAAAGTGCAAGTAGATAAATAGGTACCGCTCTGGCGGGAAGGTAAGCGGCGTTTCCGTGTGCTGTTCTGCTTCGCCAGTAGCGGCTTAGTCATGCTGGCCACATGACCCAGAAGCTGTATGCTGGCTCCCTCGGCCAGTAAAGCGAGATGAGCGCTGCAACCCTAGAGTCGTCCACGACTAGACCTAATAGTCAGGGGTACCTTTACCTAAATGATAATAAAGCAGACCACCATTATTTCTGTAACCTGATTTCAGGCCAATCTTTTTTCTTTTTGCAGTTTTTAGGT